GAGAGAGAACATGCAAATTAACAAGATTAGAAATGAAAAGGGGGATATATCCATAGACACAGAGGAAATTCAGAGAATCATTAGATCTTACTACAAAAGCCTGTGTGCCACAAAATTGGAAAATGTGGAAGAAATGAACAGTTTTTAGATAAATACCATTTACGAAAATTAAGTCAAGACCAGGTGAGCAGTTTAAATAGACCTGTAAGTCGTGAGGAAATAGAAGCTGTCATCAGAAACCTCCCTACCAAAGAAAGTCCTGGCCCAGATGGTTTCAATGCAGAATTCTATCAGATCTTCCAAGTAGAGTTAATACCTATACTCCTTAATGTTTTTCACAAAACAGAAACCGAAGAGTCATTGCCTAACTCCTTTTATGAAGCTACAGTCACACTGATACCCAAACCACACAAAGACTTCACCAAGAAAGAGAATTACAGACCAATCTCACTCATGAACATTGATGCAAAAATTCTCAATAAAATACTGGCAAACAGAATCCAAGAACACATCCAAAAAATTATACAATATGATCAAGTAGGCTTCATCCCAAAGAGGCAGGGCTGGTTCAACATACGAAAATCTATCAATGTAATCCATCATATAAATAAACTGAAAGAAAAAAAACATATGATCATTTCATTAGATGATGAAAAAGCATTTGACAAAGTTCAACATCCCTTTATGATAAAGGTCTTGGCGAGATCAGGGATACAAGGTTCATTTCTAAATATAATAAAGGCAATATACAGCAAGCTGACAGATAACATTAAATTAAATGGAGAGAAACTCAAAGCCATACCACTAAAATCTGGAACAAGACAAGGCTGTCCACTCTCTCCATACCCTTTCAATATAGTGCTTTAAGTTCTAGCAATAGCAATAAGACAACATAAAGAGATCAAGGAGATTCAAACTGGAAAGGAAGAATTCAAACTTTCATTATTTGCAGATGATATGATAGTGTACCTAAGCGACCCCAAAAACTCTACCAGAGAACTCCTACAGCTAATTAACACCTTTAGTACTGTGGCAGAATACAAGATCAACTCCAAAAAATCAGTTGACCTCCTATACACAAAGAACAAAGATAGAGAGAGGAAATCAGAGAAACATCACCTTTCACGATAGCCACAAATAGCATAAAATATCTTGGGGTAACTCTAACCAAGGAAGTGAAAGATCTATTTGACAAGAACTTCAAGGTTTTGAAGAAAGAAATTGAAGAGGATACCAGAAAATGGAAAGATCTCCCATGCTCTTGGATTGGGAGGATCAACATAGTAAAAATGACAATTCTACCAAAAGCAGTCTATAGATTCAATGCAATCCCCATCAAAATTCCAGCGAAATTCTTCACAGACCTTGAGAGAACAATAATCAAGTTTATATGGAAAAATAAAAAACCCAGGATAGCCAAAACAATCCTATACCATAAAAGTACTTCCGGAGGCTTTACCATCCCTGACTTCAAACTCTATTACAGAGCTACTGGAAACTGCTTGGTATTGGAACAGAAACAGAGATGTTGACCAATGAAATCGAATAGAAGACCCAGACCTTAATCCACAAACCTATGAACACCTGATTTTCGACAAAGGAGCTAAAACTATACAATGGAAGAAGGAAAGCATCTTTAACAAATGGTGCTGGCATAAGTGGATGTCAGCCTGTAGAATAATGAAAATAGATCCATATCTATCACCATGCACAAAACTCAAGTCCAAATGGATTAAAGACATCAACATTAATCTGACTACATTGAACCTGATAGAAGAGAAAGTGGGAAGTAGTCTACAAGACGTGGGCACAGGAGACCACTTCCTAGGTAGAACCCTAGTATAGCACAGACAATAAGAGTAACAATGAATAAGTGGGACCTCATGAAACTGAGAAGCTTCTGTAAAGCAAAGGACACTGTCATTAAAACCAAAAGGCAACATAGTGATTTGGGAAAGATCTTCACCAAACCCTCGTCAGACAAAGGTCTGATCTCCAAAATATACAAAGAACTCATGAAACTAGACTTTAAAAAGCTAATTAACCCAATTAAAAAATTGGGTACTGAACTAACAGAGAATTCTCAACAGAAGAACTTCGAATGGTCAAAAGACACTTAAGCTCATGCTCAACCTCCTTAGCGACCAGGGAAATTCAAATCAAAACAACTTTGAGATACCATCTTACACCTGTCAGAATAGCTAAACTCAAAAACACCAATGATAGCCTATGCTAGAGAGGATGTGGAGTGAGGGGAACACTCATCCATTATTGGTGGGAATGCAAACTTGTGCAGCCACTGTGGAAATCAGTGTGGCGGTTTCTCAAGAAACTGGGAGTCAACCTCCCTCAGGACCCAGCAATTCCATTCTTGGGAATATACCCAAGAGATGCCCTATCATACTACAAAAGCATTTGTTCAACTATGTTCATAGCAGTACTATTTGTAATAGCCAGAACCTGGAAACAACCTAGGTGCCCCTCAATAGAAGAATGGTTAAAGAAGGGGTGGAACATTTACACTTAAGAGTTTTACTCAGCGGTAAAAAACAATGACATCTTGAATTTTGCATGCAAATGGATGGAAATAGAAAACACTTTACTGAGTGATGTAACCCAGACCCAAAAAGAGGAATATGGTGTGTACTCACTCATAAGGGGATTCTAGCCATAAATAAAGGACATTGAGCTTATAATTCGTGATCATAGAGAAGCTAAATAAGAAGGTGAACCTCAAGAAAATCATACAGTTATTTTCCTGGATATTGGAAGTAGGTAATATTGCCAGGCAAAACTTGGGTGCACAGGGGTGGGGGTGGGGGAGTGGATGTAAGGGGAGATGGGTAGAGAGAGGTGAGAAGGGGAGGATTGGGGAAAGCTTGGGGGAATGGGATGGGTGGGATGGAGGAAGGGTAGATATGGGACCAGGGTAGTAAATATCTTAATTAAGGGAGTCATTTTAGGGTTTGCTAGGGACTTGTCTCTGGAGGGGTTCCCAGGTCCAAGGGGAGGTCCCCAGATTTTTTCTTGGGCAGCAGAGGAGAGGGTGCCTGAACTGGTCTTGTCCCATAGCCACATTGATGATTATCTTGTATATCACCATAGAACCTTCATCTGGCAATGGATGGAGATAGAGACAGAGACTCACATTGGAGCACAGGACTTAGCTACCAAGGTCCAAATGAAGAGCAGAAGGAGGGAGAACATGAAGGAAGTCAGGATCACAAAGGGTGCGTCCACCCACTGAGACAGTGGGACTGATCTAATGGGAGCTCACCAAGGCCAGCTGGACTGGGAGTGATGGAGCATGTGATCAAAATGGACACTCTGTACGTGGCTAGCAATGAAGGCTGATTGAGAAGCCAAGGACAATGGCACTGGATTTTTATTCTACTGCATGGTCTGACTTTGTGTGAGCCTGGTTTGTTTGGATGTTCACCTTTATAGACCTGGATGGAGGGGGGAGGACCTTGGACTTCCCACGGGGCAGGGAACCCTGACTGCTCTTAAGGCTAGAGAGGGAGGGGGAGGTGGGGAGGTGGAGAGAAAAGGGAGGCGGGGAAGAGGTGGAGAATTTTAATAAATAAAAAAAAATAAAGAAAGAAAAAAAAGAAAAAAACAGAAAAAAATCAAGATCCATACTAATGCAAAGTATCCATCTCTATAGCATGTCCCCCTTTAAATGTAAATAAACATTTATAAGCAAAAAAGAAATAAATTCAAAAAAAAGAAGTTCCAGACCATTCAGAACTGGACACAGAATCCTATCTTAGAAAACAAAGAAGAGGAAACAGTCTTAATAGTGAAAATTACGCTATAGAATAAGAAAATAGTTATCAGTTTATTCATATTCAAAACATAAAAACAAATACATTTCAGTAAAAACAGGAAATATACTAGAGAAGACAAAAGCAGAAGTATAGAGATTTGAAGGAATATCAAAAGAGGCCACTCTATTGCCTATTAAATATTAAAAGTAGTATGAAGTAGATTTGTGAGGGTAATAAAACATTAAACCCAGAGACACTCTGGTCTCATGCACAAAACTGGCTACATTTTAAGAACGTAAATACCCAAATTATGTGGAAAGAAAGTTACTGGAAACCATTTGTAACGTTGATGAGAGTTAAATTACTACAAATTGTAAAACTGTCATTCCACAAAAATTGAACAAGTCTGTCTACTTAAAGAACAGTATATTTGGGTATGTTCATATGACTGTGCTTTGCATCTTGCAGTGTTGGGGTCTGGTATTACTTGAAAATACATGGCAACAAGCACCTTTAGCTTACTCATATCCTTCTATAAAAATCAAATCACCAGTAGATGGCTTGTGATATATAATACAATCACTACAGAGCCCAAAGTAAGTCAATAATTATGAACATCAATATAGAATACACTGAGCTACTTCAAGGAAAAACATACACTTGTGCAACTTGACTGTGGTTCCATGTAAAATAAGTGTACATCTAAACAAATTGGTGAAATGAAAAATAAAAGTGAGATATATGGAAAGTCACACATACCACAAAACTCAGTATAATATCAAATGAAGAAGATTCCACATAATTCACAAAAGTTATTCTTGAGCTAGGTTTAAATTAGTGAGTGATGGAAAAAGAGCAAGAGATTGATAACTGTCTAGTGCTGAACCTGTGATACATGAGCAGAGTGCACACTTTGACAGTTTATCTACCCAGATAGCAATGATTTGAGTAACTCTCTATTTTAAACTGTCAGTATTTTTGTAATAAAAACATAATTCAATATATTCTTCAGAGCTTTGGAAAAATAATTGACTCCTAGTGGAGTCAATGTTAAGTGGAAAATTAGTTTTTTAAATTTTTATAGAAATTAAACAGCAGCTAATTAACTGGAAAATCCTTGAATCACTCTGTCCTTTTAGAAGTGTGAGACCCCATGATAACATGTGGAAGAAGCCCTAAGTGATGCTGCTTAGGGTCCATGCAGAACAGTAGAAACCATACTCCCCATACCTGTGCCTCTTGCTGTTCAACTTAACTTCTTTAATGACACTAAATGTGTCACTAACTTCTCCATCTGTGAAGACAAAGAGCTGAAAAAAAAGAAAGAAAGAAAAAACCCAGATGTATTTATCAAGCTTCTGTCGAGTTTATTAAAGGCAACAGCTTTGGTCCTCATGACCCACAATTTTTTCCAGTCTTTATAACTTCTTCACACAGGGCTGGGGACTCTAGTACTCCACTGTCACTTGCTCAATGCTGCCACAGAGACTCTTCAGTGGGAAGAGTTTCATACCTTGGGAAGTTTCACATCCTCCCATGCAACTCGCACCTTAAATATCTATGGTACCACAAATTGATGGTTAGCTCCCTGTCCCATAGAATAGAGGAAGTACGCTGTCTCTGGTCTTTTTTTTTACTTCACACAATAGTAGATGACTTAAATTTACACACTATTTCCACAATTTTATTGAGAGAACTGGAAATCAGGTTAGTGGATAATATCACAATTTTTCTCTATTAGCTTCATTCCAAAGCTCACCTGTAAGGGATGCCCAAGGATGGAGGGAGCTTTGTAAATATCGCAGAGTGGTCTCAAGATTTCAGTGCCCCCTAGGTCGGCTTCTAAATCCTTCACTCTTTTCACTGCCTCCTCCATTGTTTCCTGAGTGTACTTCACACTCTCCCTTAGAAAAACAAGCATGTCTAGTCACATGGCAATAGTGCACATTCCTATTCCTGTTGCAAAATCACTATCACAAAATATTGTTCCTATATCAGGACTACTCTGTCAGATTAAAAATGCAGATCCTCCTTTAAAGTACATTCTTTCACATTCCATGGTTTTTAAAGAAACTTACGGGAAGAATTTTTCATAGAAGGATCCAAATCCATAGATGTTGAAATAACAACCCATAGGCAAACTCTTCAGCAACAGCAGCAGAGTTTCCTGAGGGTGAGAGAAGACGAGAAGATGGAGTGAGAGAAAGCTCAACCAAACATCCAGACTCCAGTCTGGTTCCTAATGGTATAAAAAGACGTCATGCTATGTCACCTTTTATTTTAAGACTGGGTTCAGAATGGCCATGCTTATTACTGCTCTGATGGAGAATAGACTTACAGCTATAAATTGATCATACACACGCCCTTCCCAACCATCCTCACTTGGCACTGCTGAACAATGAAGAATCTGGATTTACCTTGGCAGCCTCTATGCGTAACTGAGAATCCATCTGGCTGTTCATGTGCATTCCCATACTTCCTGAGCGGTCCATGAGGAACACAAATTCTCCACAGGCCTTTGAGGCCTCCACTTCTGGGATATCTGGATAAAAACTCACCATTGCAGAAGGAGCTCCCATCAAACTATCTGTACATAAATGAGAAGAACCCCTGTAAGTTACAAGGTAACACAGGTGTCCTAGAGTTCTCAAGAACCAATTGTCAAATCAATAGAGAACTGAGAAGCTCCAATAAAAATCTTTTGTTTACTCTTCTTGTGTTGTGTGCACAGGAGTAAATGTGAATTGTCAGCATAAAAGAGAAGGAAGCAGAACAGGAGTGAGAGGGAAAAAAACATGGTAGGAGTTAACAGACCAAAAAAAATCAGCAATATCAGTATGTGCAAATTTTAGGCACCTTACTAATTGAATAGGGTACATTAGTTTAACACCTCCCATCAATAGATAAAGATACAGCGAGGATTCCTAATACAGGTAAATCTCTTCAAATCTTATTACTAGGAAAGTCATCACATGGGTCTCTGATTATATCTTATGTTCCCTGAAAGCCTGCAAACTTAATTACAGAAAATAGATGAGAAAATGTTAGTGGAATCAAGGAGGTGTCTCAGAAAGGAAGAAAGTGAGACCTCAGTTATCACATATTACGTTACAGCTTCATGAGTTTCTGAAGAGTTTCTCCTGACTGAAGACCAAGTTTGAGTTTTAAATTTCAAAATACCCCAAAAGAAGATCAGGAAACCAACTACTAAAACAGAGAATAGAGGTACAGGGAAATTAAGAAGTTACAAGAACCCCGGGGAAGCTGGGATTCCCCTTAGCAACCTCAGAGAGGAGTGGCCAAATAGTGAGAGGAAAAGAAAGAAGCCCTACATGTGGTTCAGCATGAGGTCACCGTTGTCAAATATTGACAATGTTATATTGGTGGGGATTGAGTATGAAAACCCAGCATCTTGGTAAAGTCCACATGGTGCATATTGCTACAGTGGCATAAATCCAAGCCCAGCTGTCACACTGTGAACACAATTGCCCCCCAAGAAGCTTCCATACATCGAACCTGGAAATGTAAAGTTGCGGCAACCTTCTAGGTCATGTGATGATCCCTGCAAACCAGAGCAGAATGGGCCAGAAAAGTCAAAGAGAACAGAACACCCATGGGTGCCGTGCTAGCTTTAATAAAAGTTAAGTGCACTCATAAGGAAATGTTCTAGGTGGCAATCACTAGATGTAGATAAGAAACAAAACTCACTGGCAAGCTACATGTAGTGTTAAAAAAAAGTTGCAGTAAGCTGCAACAAGACAGTTTGGGGTGAATACTTGTGATTTTTTTCAAAGTTTAATCTCTACAGGACACAGAGGACCTAAAATAAATTTTATTTTGGCCACTCCTATTAATCCTAATTAAAACTGAAAGAACTTGCAGGAAGATTACATTCAGTTGTGATGAATTAATCAATAATATATTTATTGAAAGTGAAATTATTGTCAATGTAAGAAAGATTATTATTTGTATATTGTCTAGATTATAGTCAAGTTACTTTCCTAATCAAACTATTATTTTATAAAGTTATTAGGAACTATAACTCTTTTTCTTTCTTATTATTTGGAGACCTTCTATCTAAATTCTTTGTTAATATACATTATTATAGTAAGTGACATGACATTATAACTCATCAAGTACCTGATGACACAAATGGTAACTACATTATATTTTTCATCATCTATTAATATTGGATACCATTATATTATCACTCAATATCATCTGCATATCATATAGACATTTAGATTTATTTCAGAAGAATTGTAATATTAGAATTGTCAAAATAAGTATTCACTTTACTATTTGAAGCCAAAGTACTTTCAAAACATTTGAAACTAATTGGTTTGTTTCAACACTATCTCACAATGTAAGGTCATGCTCATCACACAATGTAAAAATGAGTCTTTATCAGATTTGAACAGCCCTGAACCTATGAAAGAAATAGTAACTAGATTATTTTTTATTTGCCATTTTTTGTAAGATCAGTCATTGTCACATTTTGATAATGGGCTGAATAATTTCTTATCAATAAGTTTGTCATACTTTCCCTCTAATTATGTAGTAATCCATGTAAATTAGTCTATAGTATATGATCACCTGATTACATATTAAGAGCCTTCATTTTTCCATGTGGAAATAAAAAGTCAATACTTCAATGGCCATATACTGATCCCAGAGAGCGTTAGAAAATCAAGGCTAATTGGTAGTTACATGTTAGAAAGGGACCATCGTGAAAGACAGAAAATACCTGGCTTCATGTCCTGCATCCCCATCTCCACAGCTACACTGGGGCTGTGCACTTCATTGTAGTAAATCAGGAGTTCCACATCCCGGTCAAACTTGTGTCCTTCAGCCAAGGAAACCTGAGTAGCAGACCAATAGATTACTGCCACGGATTGCTTCCAGAGATAAGATCAGAGTTCAGGGTTGCAGGATTCTTCCATGAGGATACAATCAGTAGTACATGAAAGACTATTTGAAAAGGGGTCTACACTTTGCCCAGAGTAGGAAAAGTAGATACTATGTCTCTCAAAGCATGGCCAGAAAAAGCAAGGGAAATATAGGAAGAATGAACAATGACCAAGGCAACAATGAAGACAGAGGGGGCTGACAATAGTGTTCTCTTTCTATTCACCATTCACCTGAGCAGACATCTTGTCATCAGCCAGGTACTGAATAGGACTCAAGCAGCAGTTGGACTGGACCCTCTCAATGACATGCTGGGAAGTGATGGTGACAACCATGTTGAGTGTGTACGGCAGGTCCTCCAAAGGGACTATGGGAGTCTTTATATTCAAGCAACTATTTGTAGATTGTTCTACAAAAAAAATATTAATTTTGTTTTCCATGTCAACAACTTCCAGCACAATCATAATTTAGAGTATTTCTTCAGCCTTTGAAATACTGGTTTTCAAAGGCAGAAATGACTTACCAGACAACTGGTATCTTGGATTCAAGATTGCTGGGAGCACATAGCGCAGGGCCCCATCTGTCTCCAGAGGCAGCTCCTGCACATACCTCAGGGTCACTGCTACCTTGGCCCCAGGCTGGAGGTTCCCCACATTGCAAGAAAAGACATCACTGGAGTAGTCATCCTCTTCCAATAAGTAAGCTTGGTGACCCTGGGAGAGGGCATCCTCATAGATGCTATGGGCCTAGAGCAAGAGTGGGACAGGTTGAAATAAAATTGTATAAATTCAAGAAAAAAAAGACTGTTCTGAAGATGTGTCATGGATTGTATGAACCTTATAATTATTGTGGCAGCTTCTACTTGATTCTGTCTGCCTTATTGATTTTAGGCAAAGAGTAATTAGAAGTGAATGAAAGAACAGTCAACATCAGCACTTATGAATTTTTTATAAAGATAAAAAGTCGAATGCAATTTGAAGTGAGAGGAGAAGAGATAATGTATGTTGTGGTCCAGGCATTATCCAGTGAGAATACGTGTGACAATCTCTAGGATAACACCCAAAGTGCAAAGTTTTGGGGATCTGCCTTTTGAATAACCGATGTCATTTCTGCAAAACCATTGTGAAGCCATAACATTTCTTTTTTCATGGAGAGATTCATCCAAAATAGCCCCAAATAAAATTAATTAATTATTGACCATAACCTCCTCATGTGGTACTACACTAGATGATTTTTCATTTGGCTATATAATCTTGATATATATAATACAGGGTGCCTTGAGTTTTTGAAAAGGCCCCAGAGAAAGGAAATTCTTATCACTCAGGTACCAGCAGCAAGAAAGCTTCTACTTGGCCTGGAGGCTGGAACTGCTAGGCTGTGGATTTTACACTACCACAGATCTCCTTTAATCTAGCCACCTTAGGTGTTATCTGTAGAGATCAGATTCCATTCCCTTTAATCAGCAAGCATTTGGTTACAGTATCAATATGGACTGAGCACCATCCCTTTCCTTCCCTCAGCTTACCTTAGTTGCCATGGCTGCCACAAACACTGTGTTCCCAGCCTCTACAGGAATGAAAGTGCTTAGAAAGGGAAATGTGTGCTTTTTTTTCTTTTTCTACATTTATCAATTACAAATTTCTAGCTTAACTAACCAAAAAATATATTTAACTCACAAATTCCTTTCCCCGTCTTAGAAATCACAGCCCATTTCTTTATATACTTTCATCAGATATGCCCAAGTGCATCATAGCCATGCCCCTTCTGAGACCTAAGCAAGGTAACAGGCACCTGCTTTGGCAGCCTATTCTGATGTTTAGGCCTTTGGAATGCATGCCTGATGTCCTTGTTATTGTCACCAAGTTGTTAATTAAGCCTGTGTGAGCATATAAACCAAATACCTTGTTGGGATAGTAAGAACTTTGGGAGAACATCCAGAGAACACTGATGGAGAGAGATCATAGAGAAAGCACTGGAGGGAACTTTTTTCAAAGAATAAAGAGACATGAGGGGAAAATGTGTTTGAGCTGATTTGTCCACCCTCAGGTCTCTTTTAGTCAGTTTTTGCTTGCTATAGTGTTCCTTACAGATCCTGAGAGATTTAGGGGGATGGCGTCGCACACAAATCTTGATAAATTTACTCATCCTTCCAACCTGCATTTTCTCCTGCAATTCGGCCACAATTTTCTTCCCATCCACCGAGGCCTCAAAGCTGTAGACAGCAGAGTCTTCATCCATGGGGAACACAAAGATTGCCTCCAAGGGAACTTTCTCCTCATTCTCATAATTTAAGGTTGCAGAGACACTAGCCACAAAGTCATTAATGGACAGGGTTACCGATATGCTCTTCAGTGGCACTGGGGAAGATACAAATGTATAGGAGATCAGCAAACTTTACTAGAGCGGCACCATAGATGAGTTGTGCTGAGTACAATGACCTCATCACTAAGAGTTGTAAGTCAGGCTTACCTGGCTCCTTGTTTCCAGTGATTAGACCACAGTGCTGCTCCATGATGGATGCACGTTTCTGTGGAAATGACATCATTAAGAGGTTCAAGATAGGATTACAATATCAATAACTACAGCTTCTGTGCTTCTCTCTAGCGGGAACAGCTTCAAATTCTTAGTGTGGGGCTAAGGATACATGGTGGAAAGGAGGGGAGATGCTGGCGTTAACACTCCTGATTAATGCTGCTCAGGTGGGGAGGCTGAACAGGAAGTCTCTGAAACTCCTTAAAGTGCCACAAACACCATTCTATATTTACAAACAGTGTCAAATAAACTGTCCACAGGACTTGGATAGGTACTGTAATTTAACTCCAGTCTTCTTCACCGAGAATCAGAGCCATTTTTTAATATTTTATTTACTTTTGTGTTGTATGTATGAATATCTGCCTGTATGTCTGTGCATCAAATGCAGGAAGATATGCTTATGCATGTTATACAAAGCAGGGGACAGAAGAGGACACTGAATCTAATGGAACTGGATTTACAGATGGTTATAAGCTGTTTTGTAGGACATGAAATTTGCACTTTGGTCCTCCAGAGTAGAAGGCACAGTTCATAAAGACTGAGCTGACTCTTCAGTCCCTATTGCCAGTTCTTCCCAAGCATACCTGTGAGATTCAAATAGCACCCAATATTATATTCCTCATATTTAATCACTGTTCTTTAATACTTAGTATTGACAATACCCACTGTTTTATTTTTTATATTTATTTTCAACACATTTCCACATGACTCACTACTGGTCCGATGCAGGTTGATTGTGCTTTCCTTAATTCTAAATAAACATCTATGTCATCTTGTCTGACAGAACCCCCAAGATCTGTCACATTGTAACCATTGCTCAGAGAACAGAGAGAAGTGTCAGAAAGTTTTTAAGCACCCGACATCACAGAGGACTATCATAAGTCAGTGCCTTCCATCCATGACAGGATCATTGTAGTCATGAACGCAAAGTAGGTGTTGTTACCAGCATAAGACATGCACCATCAAACCAGTCAATATTTTAGCACAGATCTGGGAGTGGCACATACAGTCCAATCCCTACTTGAGGAGCTTTGTGTTTGATATTTTCTTGTAGTGAGACAATCACTTATTTTTCCTTTAGGGAATTGGTTCCTGGTAGGTTTCCCATACTCCAAATGATGACCCTGCACTTCTGTGCGCATTGACAACACAAATGGATTAAATAAAATGATATGCTTTTGGGAGAGAGAATTTTTACTGGCTGGGACTACCAGGAAGTTGAAACTCAAGGGGATATAATCAAAATATATTGCACACACCTATAACATTTTCAAAAGATAATTTGAAAATATTATATATTTTAAAATACATTCTCACATACAAAGATGATATATGTACAATATTTTCCTTTCTTTTAAAACTGACTACTCTAAATATATTTCATGAATTATGTATTTGTACATGTTACAGGTAATACGAAGACAAAGAGATAGATTGATTTTACCAAGTTATGATTTACATGATTATTTCATCCACAGAGCATAAAGATTAGGCTAAATCCAATTATGGTCCCAAATAACCCTGGAAGCTTTTCTGGGCCTTCCTAAACAAGATCGTTTGCTAACGTGTCTCTCATACTGTGACCAGAGTGTCCAACACCAACAAGGGTGGTTTTCACTGGAAATCCATCCTAAGGCACAGAAGGCCCAGCTAGGAGCACACATAGTGTTTGCTCAGTTTCCTAGAAGCCCAGCCTTCACTGGCTGAAAAACCCTCTTGAAGGATCAGCTTTCCATCTCTGGCAATACAAACCAGCAATTCTGAAGGTTTTGGAGGGCTGTTTCTAGGACCTTCACGCTGATCCTAAGGACCATTTACAACTCTCAGACTTGGGTTATAGCTGAATGAAAAAGAACCTGCAAAGCTTGTGAAAAATCCTGAGTTCCCTATTTAACCCTAGACCAGGCTGAAGGCTGGGGACACCTCCTTCATCTCCCTGGAAACCATCCCTCTGATATGAGTGGTGTTTTCTATACAACTTAAATTAATCACACAAATTTATCAAAGAATGAGCTATGTTTCTACACTTGCTATTTTGAACTATGGGAAGCATCTGACAACATTAGAATGGCTCAGATGTGGGCAACAGCACAGAGGTAGCAGCTAAGCAAGGAGGAGGAGGACAGCAAGCCCTGGGAAGGATCTTCCCTGGTGACTAGTAGAGGAGCCTAGAACAAAGGGAAAAGAATTTCTACTGACAGCAACAGGAAGTGTAGAGCAGGAGACTCACCCACAAGTAGCTCAGTAGAAGAATGGACCCTATCTGGAAGGAGAGATCTCAGGAGTCTGAGAGAGGAGAGAGCATCTAGAGTCCCCTACAAAGAAAGGGTTATTTCCTGATTCGAACCTAAGAAGAAATTTATCTTAGTGAGTGTTTCACCCTCTCCCTGACTTCTCCTGAGTCTGCAAGTTGAGGCAAGCCTTCAAGGGCTGTGAGGTAAAGACTGGTTCCAGAGGTGATAAAGTTCCAACCTTAAACAGGATGCAGCTATTGAGCTAAGAGACCTGTCAGTTAAATCCTTCTCTCAATTGCAGGCATGGAGCAGCAAGAGTCAGCCGGCCACACCCTGCTATGTACTGCTTCAGGAAGAGGAAGAATCTGGGCTTCAAGCCCAGAAAGGCTACTGCAGTGCGGCTTGTAGGGCCTCAAATAAAAACAGTTATTTAATCTGTAGAATGTCTACCTAAGATCTTCAGTTCCAGATAGTTTTTTAAAAAGGCACAAGTTCCATCTCTCAGGTCTGAATAGAGAGGGTTTTTTTTTTATGCTGCAATGAATTAGGTGGGTGGAGAATGAAAGCTGCATTTCCTTAGGTAAAACTTACCTAAAACTGAGAAAAGAAAAGCAAAACCAAAAAGAAACAAGAAAGACCTATTTTGTAAGACAGAGAAAGAGCGAAAAGAAGAAGAAGGTGGGGGGATATGAACCTGAAAAAGAGGTCATTTTTTGTACTATTAATCTAGAGAAATCTTGAGGCATCATCAGCCAGGATGAGTTTCTACTGCTACCACCCTCAGACCCCAGAATTTCCAGCTAAAAGGCATTTACAACTCTTTGTGGGGTTGACTAGAACAAGAGGCTCTTACCCTTCAGATGCAGTAGGTAGGCTTCTCCCCAGCCAGCTGAGCAGAGTCTGCACCCACTTCTTCAAGTCCCCTCAGCTTACAGTTCTGTAATAGAAAGTGAAAGCAGCTGGAGTCAAACTTCCAGGAAGACTCGCCCCCTTCTGGGGATCAGCTATAAAGTTTCAATAGTATGATAAAGGGATGGACTGAAAATTCTCAACAAGTATTGAATGTCTGCTTGTTGTTTAATGAAAGCATTTTTTTTTAATTAAGAGCAGTTGCTCAGTTTTCCTCCTGCTTCGTCTACACAGAGAAACAATTTAGGGCAGTCAAATGTGGGGGTTTTGTTTTTTGAGGTTGAATGTTGCAGCTGTACTATCTAAAACTGATATAAAACACTGTATGTACATCTGTAAGGACATGGAAAACTTTAAGAAGCTTTACTTGATTAGGATCTGGTTAAGACACACATCCTTTGCAACATCACAGGAGTCAGCAGAGAGAAAACCAAAAGTTCCTAGTAGCTAGTCCCCCTGACAACACCCAGCTTTGTGGTCTGGACAGAGCAGAAAATAGATGCTTGGAGGTCGGCCAGGGGGCATGTACAGAAGCAGAAGTAGTTGCTTAAGGGAGGAAAAGGGTATGCAGAAGTAGTTCATACCCTGTACTCAGCAAAACTAACCCCCTTGACCCTGAGTAAACCTGGCTTGTGGTTTTTGCCTATATAATGTCAACCCCAAATGATGAGGGAGTCTTTTCCCTACTGTGCTGCATCGAGTAGTGGTTGAGCCCCCAGCCTGGCTGGAGAGCATGCTAAATATACCTTGCTTTTGTATTCTGGACTTGACTGCATTCCGGTGGTGGTTTCTCAGGGGATCACAACTTGGGCACAACACAGTTTTGCAACAAGCTTGATCAATAAGAGCATCCTGGCTGCTACATCTGATGAACAGAAAACTTATGAGTATCATACATAACATTGGCTTTGGTCAATAGGTTACACATGGAGACAGGACATACATGTCTGCTTACAAATATTTTTATCTTAAATTGTGTGTTCTTGAATCTATAAAATTAGTATAAATTTATCATTATCTCCTGGACAGTTTTAAGGTATAATAGGTCAACATGAATATGAAGCTTATGCATACATATGCAAATGCATAATAAATCACAGTATCACATAAATTCTCTTTTATGGATAATGAACAATGTTTTAATATTTTGAACTAATTGTGAAAGACAATGAATCTGTGTAGCAGTCTTATTCTGTGTTGTTCCCCCTCCACACTGTAGCTGATCTCTGTTGTTGGCAGTACCTGAACAGCAAAGTCAGATGCTGGCAAGGCTGGCAGAGCTCATTCTCTGGTCTGGTGGAGTTAAAGTCTAGGATCTGAAGTTGGCAGCCGAGAAGATGTGAAAGTTTATGTGGAACCAAACTTTTATCAGGCAGCACATCTGGGGTGCTGCTGTTGTAGGACAATTATATAACAAAGGAATACACAACTTATAAGCTTTTACTGTCATTAAAGCATCAATAAATTTTATTGAAATGTTTGCTTATGCCATGTTAAAATAGAAAAGAAATATGACACCTTATAAAATATTCAGTAAATTAAATAATCAAGGATTTTATAGAGAAACATGTAGTTTGTTCTTTGGCATACCTAGTAGTGAAACTGTTTGAATGGCACAGAATAGTGCCCAAGATTTTTTTAAATAAATAAATGAGGAAATTTATTTATTTTACATTCCCACCAGTTTCCCCTCCCTCAACTCCTCCTCCTAGACCCTCTCCAACTCCCCTCCCTCCCCTCATCCCATCCCTCAATCCACCTCTGTTTTTCTTTGGGAAATGGGAGGTCTCCCATGGATATGAACACAAAATGGCATATCAAGTTTCAAGAACATTAAGTATCTCCCTGTTATCAGAGGCTTTTCTGTGCCCTGGCCCAATCTTGCAGCTACTTATGAACTTATCATTCCAAGGTTTAGTATTAATTATAATTGTTTGACTGATGGCTTAGGCTTCTTTTTAGCTAGCTCTTACATTTAAATTACTTCACTTTTATTAATCTGTGTATAGCCACATTACCTGTGGCTTACTGTACATTTCTGACCCCTTTCTTCTCAGATGGCCGCTGGAGTTTCTGCCTTTTTTATCTCCTGTATTCAGTTTGGTTTTCCTGCCTAGCTATATTCTGCCCTGCCATAGGTCAAAGTACCTTTATTCATCAATCAATAGGGGCAACACATATTTGCAGCATTCAGAAGTACATTACATATCACCTCCCAACATATTAAGGATGGTCAAGGCAATATAGTATGAGAAGTAGGTTCCCAAAAGCCACCAAAAATTCAGAGACAGACTCTGTTCCCATTTTAGGACTTCTACAAGAGGACCAAACTGAACTGTTGTAGAGTATTCTTTAAAGATGCATTGCATTTGTTTACTCCCAGGAATATCACTTTAACTGTGTAACAGTATGTTACATTTGTTTCTGCTGGCTTTGATAATGATATAAAAATGTACTGCATTTGTTTATGTTGTATTTCTTTAACTATGAAAAGCTGTTTTACCTTGTCTCCCTCTGGCAACTCATTGGGCTGATAAAGAGTTGAAGGACAATAGATGGGCAGAGAAAGGATAGGCAGGCCTAAGAGGCAGAGAGAATAAATAGAAGATGGAATCTAGGTTGGAGAAAAGAGAAGAAGAGAGGAGAAGGAGACAGAGACTCTGGGGATTCTGAAACCCAGCTGGCGAGCCAAACAGACATCGGACACCAGAAAAGAAAGACTTACATAAGGGGAAAAAAAGGAAAAAGCCCTGAGGCAAAACACAGACAAATTGTCCTATTTATGACAATTTAAATTACAAAAGCTGGCTAGAAATAAGCTAAGCTAAGGCCAGAAATGTAATAAATAATAAGTCTCTGAGTCTTGATGTGGGAGTTGCCTGTGTGGTTGATCGAAGGAAAACGCCTGCTATAGTACACAACTGTAACATACGTGCAATGATTAGGTCAGTTCCATGAAGACTCCCTCTTTGTAATTTCAGGTTCTAAGAGCCCTTGTGTGCTCAGATTGTTTGATTTTGTGATTTTTCTTGTGGTGTTCTTGATCTTTCTGGCTCCTACAATTCTTTCTCCCTGTCTTCTGCAGGATTCCTAAGCTATGCTTAATGTCTGGCTGTGATACTACATCTGTTTATATCAGTTGCTGAATAAAGGTTCTCTGATAACAAATGGGATATGCAGAATATCATGAGGCATCATTAAATTGACTTTTTTTTCTTCACTCAAATTTGATTCTACCCTAGGTCTCTGCTGTCACCCAGCCTTTGGATCCTGATACTTCAGACACTGTCGTGGGTGGGCTTGCTCTCCTGGCAAGAGTCCTGGGCTAAACTGGTAATTGATTGGCCACTCCCTTAATCTCTAAGCCTCCCTTACTCCAGCACATCTCATAGGCAGCACAGACTGTGGGTCAAGGTTTTGTGACTGGGTTGGTTTTCTACTCCCCAACTCGACATCTTGCCTGGTCACAGGAGGTTGTCACTGTAACACCCAATTCTGTGTTACCGTCTCGGTACAGTTTGCACGCTACTGTACCTATGAGAGTCGGGCAAGGGCCTGGAGATTGAAAGAACACACAAGAGACCTGGGTCATTCGAAAGGAGATCAGCAGAATGCCATTTATTCAACTTTGGGGAAATCATTATATACCTCTCTGCTGCACAAGGATTTCCCCCCCCCCCCAGGCAGGTGGGAAATTACCATACCAAAGATGAAACTATGCCCTACAGGTAATCACCAGGCGGGGCAGGAGGAGCATAGGAACAAACAGAATGTTTTAGCTGGCTGACCAGAAACTGTCCTCAAGATGCACCCACGGAGTAGGGGCAGACCCGGGTCCTACAATCAGATCAGTCTATTTATCCTTTATTGCTAGGACTCTTATCTAGCTCATCCTTGTAGATTCCTAAAAGAGTCCCTTGTGCCAGGGATTTTTCCTGATGCTTAATAGCTTCTTTCAATACTCTCCCCCCACCACTCCCCAACCTGATGGCTCTGTGTTCCCATCTGCACCTGCCCACAGTCCACTCATGAAATTTCTCCTATTCCCCTTCCCAGGGAGATCTTTGTACATTCCTTGTACATAGTCACTCTGAGCATGTGAATTTTAGCATGGTAATCTTTATTTCACAGCTAATACCCAGTAACGAGTGAGTTTGTCTTTCTGTGAGGATGATGTTTTATACTTCTTTGCATTTACCTTTAAATTTTCTGACACCTTTGTTTTTAACAGCTGAGTAATACTTCGTTGTGTAAATGTACTATATTTTCTGTATCCATTTCTTGATTGAGGGACATCTTAGTTGTACCCAGATTCTAGCTGGCTATTACAAATAAAGTTACTATGAATATTGTTGAGCAAGTGTTCTTGGGACTTGGTGGAATGTCCTTTCGGTTTATGTCCAAGAGTAGTATAGCTGGGATTTGTGGTAGATTGAATCCCAGTTTTCTGAAAACTGCTACACTGACTTCCAAACTGGGTATAGAAGTTTGCACTTCTTTTTGTTCCACATCTTTTCCTGTGTGAGCTATAGCTGTGTTTTTGATCTTAGCTATTCTGACAGGTGTGAGATAGATTCTCAGAGTCATTTTGGTTTGCATTTCTCTAATGGTTAAGGGTATTGATTATTTCTTTAAGTGTTTCTTGGCCATTTGAGATTCTTCTGTTGGGAATTCTTTGTTTTGATCTGTACTGCATTGTTAATTGGATTATACGATTTATTGATATATAATTTCTTGCGTTCTTTATATATTTGGAAATCAGTCCTCTGTAAGATGTGGAGTTCATGAAGATCTTTTCTCATTCTGTAGGCTGCTCTTTTGTCTTATTTACAGTGTCATTTGCCTTACAGAACTTTTTCAATTTCATGAGATCCATTTATTAATTATCAATCTTAGTGTGTGTGCCATTGGTATTCTTTTCAGAAAGTAGTTTCATGTGCCAATGAGTTCAAGATTATTTCCTACTTTGTCTTCGATCATGTTGAGTATATCTGTATTTCTATTGAAGCCTTTGATCCCAATTGTGCATAAATTTTGTAAAGGGTGACAAGATATGGACTTGTTTGCATTCTTCAA